GTGTGTGTCCTGTGATGGACTGGCGTCCCGTCCAGGGTGTACCCCGCCTGGAGCCCACTGCTTGCTGGGATAGGCTCGGGCTCCTCCGTGACTCCCTGCTGGAGAAGGTGATTGGAAAACAAGTGGACGAAATGTGATTTCCCCCAGCTGGACCCTGGATTTCATCTCGGCTGCAGAGAGATTGACCGCCGCTCGTTAATTTCAGCTGTTTGTTTTGCTGTGGTTTCTTGTAATTTTTTTCCCTTGGGGCAGTGTTGTAAGTCTCTTGGGATTTTCGTTTCCTTGTAAATAGCGGGGGTTGTTTGATTAAAAAAAATAATGTTTTAAGGTGGCCGATAGTGCAAAGTCATTATTGAACTGATGTACCTCTTCAATAAGATGGTGGACACTAATTGCACAAAGGACACCAGCTTCATGTTAGATTTTAATCTATATTTTATCACAGGACCAGTTCCTGGGCTGGGGTATTTATCACAGGCCCAGTACCGGGGCCGGGGTATTTATCACAGGCCCAGTTCCTGGGCCGGGGTATTTATCACAGGCCCAGTTCCGGGGCCGGGGTATTTATCACAGGCCCAGTTCCGGGGCTGGGGTATTTATCACAGGACCAGTACCGGGGCCGGGGTATTTATCACAGGCCCAGTTCCGGGGCCGGGGTATTTATCACAGGCCCAGTTCCGGGGCTGGGGTATTTATCACAGGACCAGTACCGGGGCCGGGGTATTTATCACAGGCCCAGTTCCCGGGCTGGGGTATTTATCACAGGCCCAGTTCCCGGGCTGGGGTATTTATCACAGGCCCAGTTCCCGGGCTGGGGTATTTATCACAGGACCAGTTCCTGGGCCGGGGTATTTATCACAGGACCAGTACCGGGGCTGGGGTATTTATCACAGGACCAGTACCGGGGCTGGGGTATTTATCACAGGCCCAGTACCGGGGCTGGGGTATTTATCAGAATCCACCGGCTGTGCTCTGCTTTGGAATGGATTTCAAGAGTCAAGGTGTTGTTTCACAGACTGGCCACTGGGTGGCAGCAGGCATTAATAAAATCCCTGTTTTCATGTCCAGTCTCCGCTGCAGCGATGGGGGGTGGTGGGGGGGATATGCACACACCAGAGGAGTCGGAGCACAGGACTTACTTACAATCTCAAAGACTCAACACAATACACTTCACTCAACCTGAACCCGTTAACCACACACGTGTGAGGAGAAAACAATGAGTTGCCTGCTCAAAACTTGAGCACGTTTTTCTTCGACTTAAGACCCCGAAGAATTTAATGTTACATCTTTAAGGCAACATCCTCCGTCTGTGTAAGAGCTGAAAAGAGTCACACAGGTCAGGTTTTTCCTGTTGCCAAGGCGGTTAGGGGTTCGAATGAGTAACTGAGAGTCCACCAGGAACAGACCCCAGCAGCTCTGAGTGACCAGGACTGGAGATCCCCACAGGACCAGGACTGGGGGCCCCCGCAGGACCAGGACTGGGGGCCCCCGCAGGAGAGACAGCGCCCCCCACAGGACCAGGACTGGACACCCCCGCAGGACCAGGACTGGGGGCCCCCGCAGGAGAGAC